TTCTTTCTTTCTTTCTTTCTTTCTTTCTTTCTTTCTTTCTTTCTTTCTTTCTTTCTTTCTTTCTTTCTTTCTTTCTTTCTTTCTTCTGTCTCCCTCCCTCCCTCCCTCCCTCCTGCCACAATGTTGTACCTGCTTTCCTCTTTTTTCTTCTGGGGATCTGCCAGGGATGAATTTCATATTCCAGCCTCTCGGCTCCCCTCCACTAGATCCCTCCCTTCAGAGCTTGGATTAGAATCCAGACCTGATTGATCACCTGCACCACGGTCAATTGGGCGTACCCGAAGAAGAAGAAGAAAAAGAAGAAGAAGAGATTGGATTTATACCCCAGCCTTCACTACCCAAAGGTGTCTCAGGTATTTTGCGTTCCTGCCCAAAAATAGCCCTGGAAGTAAGAGAATTTTCTCACCCATGAATATGGCAAGGGACGGAGCACATGTGAACCTGGGTATCTGTGATTAGGATCTTCTGCATTTCTTTGAGAGGGGTAAAAGCAGCAACGGCAGCCCAACTGCAACTGGGGCTGAAAGGCCGCTGTTTCCACAACCTCAACAACTCCCTAGGAGTGGATTTTGCCTTGTCATAGAAAACCTATTACAGGGCTCTTTTCCTGGTAGACCATGCCGGAACGGAGTTCCTGGAACCTCCTCGACAAAATTCTTTTAAAGATGTTTAAAAGTTCCTGAGTTTTCAGTAGACAGATTTAAAACTTCATTTCCCTCCTGAGAGTTCCTGCACCTCTTTTTCAAAAAAAATAAAATAAGCCCTGCTTATAGGTAACCATATGGGTATACAGATAGCAGGCCTGACCTGTATGGCCGAAGCTAGCCCAGTCTTGTCTGGTCTAGGAAGCTAAGCAGCATCAGCCCTGGTTAGTATTTGGATGGGAGACCACCAGGGCTATTTTGGGGCAGGAACGCACAGGAATGGAGTTCCGGCTGGCTTCCGAGCTGGCCACGCCCAGCAGGAACTCATTAGCGTAATAGGCCACACCCAACAGCAGGAACTCATTAGGATTGGCTACATTAGGGGTGTGTGGCCTAACATGCAAAGGAGTTCCTGCTACAAAAAAAGGCCCTGGGTTTTGACAACAAACAAGGTAAACAGAATAAGAAG